CCCATGCACTATAATATGTACTGCATTTTTCACGTATTTATGATGAGACTTACAAAAAAATTCTCAAGTTTTAACTTGATACTGCTCAGTAGCCGCAATAGTAAACATTATTCCTGCATGGAGAGGACAGCTTGTTGTACACAGGTTGTTGACTGCTACTATTTACTAGATTGTCTAAATTTTCACTGGAGAGCTGTGGATCCCCACTGATGAATTTTCAATCTGGATAGATGATAAAATGGATTCTCGGTATCTCCTCAATGTTTTTCTCACAAGTCATATAAATGAGCAATTGTAACTAGATTTGGTGTTGATTGGGGTGTAGCAGATGTATCAGGGCTGTAGACAAAAAAGGTGTCTCCATCTTCACTACATGGCCCACTGAAAATTGTAAAGTCTTCATGTGCATTGTTTGAGGCCCCTCCCAAAATTGGGAACTCTCTCCAGAAATCATCATGCTTCTGTATATAAATGGAAGTTAAAAACAGGAAAGGTAATGCACACCCCAAATTTGGCCACGTCATTTTCTTAAGGATGCCAGAAACAGAATATATAGTTATCAACTGCAGATACTGAAAACTTGCTGAATCCTTGGAATTCTTGAGACCTGTGAGCTGACTCCAATTGGCTTTAATGTACACAGCTTGCTAAAAACACAACAACATTACAAAGAGTTGGTGAACATGCATGGGATTGTATTTTACTCAAAAGAGGGAAAACAATCCCACCATGGCTGTCTATTCAGTGCTTTCCAGTACATGCCATAGGCTGACTACTGCAGTGTGCCCTTCCTACCATAGGCCACACTAAGGTAAAATTGTCCTTCAGGTAAAATTGTCCTGGATAAAGACAAGGGGGCATGAACTGTACGTCCACAGGCTCAGCAAGTAGTTAAGACAGAAGCATACCGCTCACATAAACGGTGAGACAGCCATCCATGCATTTCTTGGCAATTACTACAGCTCGGCATCATTACGAGTCACTGCGCAAGGAAATTAGACAGCCACTCATAGGCCGTGCTGGCCCTACAGTGCCGTGAGTGCATACATTATCTAATTAATCACTTCGGCTTCCCTGAAACACATTGGCTCAGTGAAATAGCTATGTACATACCACATTTATATAACTACTATTGCTACCACACAGTGGTATTTATAAGTGATTAACACGTTATGTTGGCATGTGAGTAGAAATATGAGGCTGCATGTGATCATCAGTCAGAAGCAACACGTTCTACTGACACTTTAAAATTAGTACATAGCATTATTTTTTAAAAACATATATATTTAAAGCTTGTAATAAAGCATTATAATCTGAGATCAAGTACTCTTTAATTTAAGAAAAATCCCTTTAAGGTTAAATACAGGGTGTTTTCTTGGTATTTGTTCATGCGGATCAGTACATATGAGGCTCAGTTTGGGATCTTACTGCAAAATCTACAAAGTTGTACCTGCACCAAAATAGTTTTAGCCAGGAAATAAGCTCCACAGCCACACATGCATACCCACAGCCCCAGCCCCAGGACATGTCAGGTGCTGGCAGCCTTTATGGCAGTTACACTACTTCACAGTCCATAGGTGTTTATAGGCCCATTCAAAGTACCGGTGAAGTTGAGGCAAGATATAGGTGTAATTAGGGACATGCTGGCCAGCAGCACTTAGAGAATCTGTTCCTGATTTGACATATCCAAAGCTCAAGTAAACCTTAATCTTGCTTTCAAAAATAAGTGAGTTGTCACTGCCATAAACACAGCACAGAGAAAAGGCATAGCAGGAAAGGCTGGAGTGTGCAGTAACTTCTTGTGAACATGAGTTAGTCAAAAATAATCTTGGCATGTTAACTGTCACAGCAAACAGAGCAAAAGCTGCACACATGATAAGCTTTCTGAAGTCAAGATATGTGACATCATTTTCTCTCTCTGATAAACTACATAAATATGGTCTAGATGAGAAGTGCCTAACACTGTGTGATAGGCTAGATAAGATATCCAGACACTCGACGCAATCAGTAAAATCTATCAAAGCAGATGTAGAAACCGAATTGCATTGCTCCCCCTCATGTGGAGCCTCCCTATACCCCAAGAGGGGGTTCCCAAGAGCCAGTCCTAGGCAGGAGTGATGCTGCTGCTCCTTGGGAATGATGTTCCTCACCAGAGATGGTTAATGAGGGGGGCCACATCCTGAGGAGTAACCCAAAATGCAGACGTAACCACAAATGGCCTCTCTGCAAAACTGCAAAAAGTGGTAACCCCACATTTTGTGTTGAGATGAGTTTGTTGGATCAAATTAACATTGTCTCAGTAATTTCTGCACCATGCTTTGCCCTCCCTGCCTAGAGGGATGACCAGAGTAAAAGAAAATTGATGGGCCAGATAAGACATACTAGACAGTGTATCTGGTCCAGCACCTTCATACTTAACATAGCAGCTGTCTTTTCATCATCAGTATTGGTTTTCAATATGTCAGCATTATGATGTGTCTCTGTTACACTAGAGATTATCCATATTTTCCACTAGCAACTTGGAAAGTGTAACCAAACACAAGCATGTACAGTCTCCAGGTGATGCTGAACTGGAAGGGAGAGGAAGCAAGCATTTGGTGGTGGAAGGGAGGAGAAATTACGAGAATTTAAGGTGATCTTGACAAATAAGAGAAGAATTAACAAAAATATATAAGGATTTCAATAGAAACGAGCCTGGTACATTGAGATAAAATTATTCACTCAGATAGAAAGTAGGCAACCACCTAGTTTTATAGCACAAAAGCATTGGTGGGGTTATACCAGACTGCAAGCTATAAAACAAGCTCACAATATAACAGCATTGTAAAAAAAGAAAAAACAACAAAACCCCATGTCTTATATGAAAAATGGCATGGGAAGGACTGGTTTTACTCTGCTTGGCATAGATAAAACCCCAGCTGGAATAGTGTATCCTGCACCAGTTATCGCACTAGGAAAGTCAAAGAGAGCATATTTGGCATTGTCTCCTAATGGTTTAGAATATACAGCCCTGGAGGAAGAGGAGTGGAAGGAATTATGCTCATTTCATGCAGAAGACTAGGAGAGAGACACAGCACTCCAATGCATAAAAGGAGTTTTCTATGAAAAGAGAAATGATCACTTTAATCCCTGTATGGACATTGGAAACACACTAAGTAATCAGTTTGTTTCACACATGAGACCTGTGTTGAACTGCCTGTGACTAGCTGCAAACTCGATCATTTCTCTATGGAAGCACTGTGGGACTCTTTTCCTTAAAGGATAGAGACAGAATACAGAAATCCCTCTCAGGCCTGGTTTAGGTACACACCTACAATGCACCAAATGTATTAGTTAATGCCTTACAGTCTCCCCATGGCCTCGCATTCCCATGATTTGTTCAGTGCCCTTGCTCCCAGGCTCACTGTGTGTCCTGGGTGACTCTTTTCACCCAGCAGTGGCAACTACCATTTCTCCTTCTGGAGCAGATCTTGGTTACTGTTATAGTATAGTGGAAAGTGCCAGACGTGGAGCCTAACCCCACAGCACCCAAATTCTCCAGGACTGATAGAACATGCAGTTTTGTTCTATGGCATCACAGCCTCTAGTTTATCTGCAGTGTCCAGAAGATATTATTATCACATGTTACTCATTTTAATGTCTCAAGAGGTCTTCTGTACCATGCTTAGTTTCTTCATAGAGATCTCTTTTGACAACAAGAGTTTAACTTGCAGTTTTAGTTTCAGCCAAAACACCAGATGCCATATGACCGAACATGCAATTTCAGTTTCAGAGCAGTGGTCATGTAAGGCAGTCAGTGAAAAAAAAAGGCGGAAAAAAGTCCATCAGTTGGGCACCTAAGCCATCTTTTCTTAAGAAGGCTGATCTTTATCCTGTTTGTCTGTTTTGAATGAAAAAAAAAAAAAAAGTTATGCTCATCTTGTAGTCTCACCACTATTTAAATAGTTAGTATCATGACTGGTAAGAAAGCAGCATCTTTCAAATTGTATTCTCCTAAACAATCATATGTTGCTGTTTTGATCCCTGGCAGCTTAAAAAACAGCTCCTAAAATACCATCTGAAGAACAGGAACAAGAAGTGCAAGCGTCCGTTTCAGGCCAGTGTTGTTATTCTAGTCATTTCCTTTCTTGGTATCACAGTGACATGTAGTTATCTCAGACATACACAAGTGCTAATTCTTCTTGGTAGGAAAGGAAATGAGTATCAATTCATAGCAAGCAATCAAAGAACTGTAACTTTTGCACGCGATTCCAGATCTGGCCATGATGATGCCCAAGAAAGGAGAAAAATTTTGCCCATAGACCCAATTTTCTATAAAATCTTCTTTGGAGTTATTCATAACCACGTATGAGCACTATGAACGAAATCTTAATACTCGTTAGGCCAGACAAATAAGGCAGCTGGAAATGCAGACAACGTTGGGAGTGGATCAGAAGACTCATATTGGAAAGCGCCTCTCGTTTTCACTCGTCCTGTGAAAACCCAGCCATCCCTTTTGCCCTCCATGAGGAACAGAGTTAGCACAAGGCATCATTGGACCCAAAAACCCCGGTCCGCAGCCCCTGGCGTCCCTCCTGCCTCCGGGCTTCAGACTTCCCCTCTCGACTAAAACGGGTCAGTTTCGTCTATCCTTATGGAAAACCGAAGTGCAAAGCGCTCCGCACGCCCCGCAGCCCCTCCGCCCAGCCGGCTGGGCTGGCTGCCGTGCACCGGGCACGCACCGGAGTTCGCCCCTACAGCAGGTGAAGGAGCAGCCTGATCGCCACCACCGGAGCGCTCCGGCACAGCCCAACACTGCCCTCCGTCCGGCAGCAGCTCCAGGCGGGTCGGCGTCCGGGAACCCCAGCTGATGCTGAGCGCAGCTCGGCGACACGGGGAGCCGACACCGGCTTCCCGCCGCCGACAGCGAGGTACCCGGGCTGAAGAAGCCAAGCTCGGCCCGGCCCCCTCCGAGACAGGAAAGCGCTGTCTCGTCCTCCCCCGCCCCGGCAGGTACTCACCGCCGGGCAGGACGGGGCAGCCTGGCCGGTCCCGTCCCGTCCCACGTCGCTTCCCCACGCTTGGATGCGGCCGCCGCGCCCGCGCCGTCGGGCCGAGCGCTCGTCCCGTGGAGCGCCCCGCCCCCGCCGCCCGGCTCGCCCGCCCATTGGCTGCCGGAGCCGTGATTTGCATGGCGGGCCCCGCCCCGCCCCGCCCTGGGGGCCGTGCCCGGCTCGCTGCGGTCCCAGCGCGGGGAAAGTCCGCGCCCGTGGGTGCTGGGAAGCGTGGGTGCGCTGAGGTGGCCCGTTTCTTTGCCGTCGTCCCCGAGGACGTCCCCTGCCCTTTCTTGCCCTCGCCTCCTCGCCGGGAAGCGGGTGTTTTCCCACCGCCGGGCTGCGAGGGCGCGGGGATGGGATCGGTGGTGCGGTGAGACGCGGGGCCGACAAAGAGCGAAATCCGAGGGGGCGAGGGGACAGCTGGGATCAGGCGACGCCGTGAGAGGGGCAGGGGCAGGTTCCCCCGGCCGCGTCCCCCCATCGTCCCGTGTCCCCCCGTCCTGCTGGCCCGAGCCGCGCGTGATGAAATGGGACGGCAAGGGAACTTCTGCGAATGTAATTCAAACTGCTGCTGCTTAGTGTGGGGATGAGAAGCTGTGCTCTTTTCACCATGCTTCACGGTTCAGGTCAAATTTAGCCCATTTTTTGGACGTTGGCTTCAACTCTGATAACTTTGACCATTCCTGGGAAAAAAAAAAAAAAACAAACCACAAACCCAAACAAAACACCTTCCCCATCATTCTAACTGAAAAAAACCTAACAAAACTTTGGTATCACAATGTTTGATACACACTAATAGTACACATTAATAAGCCACACGAGTAGTTGTTCACCTCTCAACAAGAGGTTGTTCACCTCTCTCTGAGGTGGGAAGTTCTTGGGTTTATTGAACATCTTGGATAGGTATTTTGAACAAGCACTTTTTTCACCGTTTCACCACAGAAACTGAAGACAATTTGAATCTGGAAATTTTAAAGGATAGAAGTTACTTTTCTGTTGATGAAAGATTTAACTGAAAGAGCAATGTTGCTTTCCTGAGCTGTAAGGCTCAAAAATTTCTCATAAATTGTGTCAATTCCTGCATGACCAAGACCAAATTTGTCATGATGGAGACAGTTGAAGAGACACAGGAAGCTTCCTCCCTCCTTATTTTCTATGCTGTTGTGTAAGCAAAAAATTGAGCAATATGTAAATACTAGGGGTTTTATGGTTAAAATTAGCTAAAAATATATCTGACAGAAAGGCTCTTTCCCCTTGAAAAATCAAAGACTGCACTGCAGGGTTCTTCCATGTGGAGAACTTTGCTGGCATTTTTCCCTTAGACCTTGATGCTGAAGAGAAATTTATGGGTGTGTCCCATTAGTCTCCTAAAACTACCTGAAGGCACTGAATTATGAGTATGCTTTCTCTTCTTTTCCAAGCTGCTGCTTGGTGAGCCCAGCTACAGCATCCGCAGTGTGTGGGCAGCTGGTTTTCTCTTTGCCACTGGACCACAGAAAGCAAATGGGCCTTTAAGGTTGTTAACACTACTGGAGCTGAAAATAAAGCTGCATGCTGATGTGATGTCATGGGTAATCACAGGTACAGGCTGCTCTGTATGGCATGGAACAAGAATTACAAATTAATCTGCTGTTGTTTCAGCACAGGCAAAGCTATTGAGTGCATTGATTGATGTGTCTGATGATCAAAAATGAGCAAAATACTCATCTAGAAACATCTGGTATCTTGCCTATAATTTTCAGGAGGATTTGGAAGACCAAATAGACGACTGTCAAGTCTCCTCTGCTTTGGGAGACACTTCAGTTAAAATTTCAGTAGCTGAGTAGAAGGCAAGGTAGCAATATTGTTAAAATATTAATCTTCTAAGAAAAGAATGGAGGGTGAGAGAAAACTATTATTTCTATAAATGTTGCCATCTAGATTAGAAGAGGTTAAAGAAGGTTGAAAACTCTCAGAGACATCTTGCTAATTAAGCTACACGAATAGGTGGCTAAAAAAAATTCACCACTGACAAACAAGGATCCAGAAGCACTTGAGCATATTATGTTGCTAGATCCTACCAAGTTGTCCATTTGCATGGTGTTATGGGAAACAAAACCAGATTAGTCATATGAAAAGATTCTCATATCATCATGGGTACAAAAGACACTTGCTTTGGATTATTATGCTCATTTCAATCACTTCTGAAATAAGATGAACAGTGTAGATTGATAATGAAAATTATTAGACAGAAAAAAGTGATTTTCCCAAAAAAATTAATAGATTTTTCAGTCTTGTCATTTTTCCCTCCCATGAATCCTGAGCAGTATTACGTACAAAGCCACAAAAGTAACACAGTGATTTTTTTACTTTGTGCTATGTCTTATTATAGGATATATATTTAATGAAAATTTGTCATTTACCAGTGAAAGGAGATGCTCAGTTTACATAGATAAAAGCAGAATTCATTTGCACAGATGCCAATAATTTTTTTAAAGGAGTTTGTGCAATGTAAGTGGACAATACATCTGGAGACAACAAGCCTCTCTTTTTTTTTTTTTTTTTTTTTTTTTTTTTTTTTTGTTTTTTGTTGTTTTTTTTTTTTTCCCCTGAAGAGCTATGGGTTTTTTCCTTAAAGACTCCCAATCCTGACCTCGGTCTTGAGTGATTATTTTGGATGAGCCACATTTTGCTTTCAGTTTCCTCATTCTCTAGAAAGAGGAAAAGCATAATTACTTTCATTGCTCATAAATGTGTAATGAAAAGTAATATATAAACAAATTGGAGTCTCATGTATGTGAAAATACCTTGAGGATGTGCAGTATTTCGAGGACAATACACAGAGCAGAGGGATGGTCTGCATGTGGGAGACCCATCATCTCTCTGCTCTGGTGCCTGAGGCTTCTAATGACATTGGCAACCAGGACAGTAATGGAATAGACTGACTGAGTTTCTTCCAAAGACCAAGAAATTAGCAATTACATGAATGTGTAGATTTCTCTTTGCTACTACTTACCAGCATCTCAGGGCATCTGGAGTTCTGGGGAATATCAATTTTCAGAAAGAGCAGTTTCACCAGGTGCCTTCCGTGAAGGGTCGCTATTTGTCTGGAGTTTACCCATCTGTTCAAAACAGTTTGTACCCATAACATTTGTACTAATTTCAAGTACAGACTTATAGAAGTGTCAATCTATAATAATTGACATTTGTGAAACTTTTAGCTGAAAATAGAGCAAACTGCTGCCAGTTCACTTCTGTATCCTAGGGCCAGTTCTCAGACATATATAAAATTAATGTATGCTTTTCTGGATGTAAAGTACAAATGAGCCTCTTCTAAACTAGAATCAGGTCTGATGTAATCTAGCTTACATTGATTCCATGAAAGTAATGATTCATGGTCCTGTACAAATAACTTTTTTCCTTTTAACCTCATGGATCAGTAAGTCATTTTGATAGTACATGATTTATCAGTTGCCAAGGTGAGTGAAGGGAGACATCAAAAGATTGATGCTAGGAAGTTCTTTCACTGTGTTCATTTACCAGAGAAACCGATTCTCCAGCTGCGGTATTTCCAGCTTGAGTAAGGTCCATCAAACACTTCAGTTCTGACTTTTCACATTTTCACATTTTCTTGTAGCCTCTCACAAAAGCTACTCATGTTACAGAACAGCTTCATAGCTAAATGTTGCTGATGTAAGGAGATCCTTCTTAGTTACATGAAGAATAGACTGCTGAAAAGAATTCAAAAGCCAAGTGTCTCTGCAGCTGGCTAAAATCCACCTTAATTCTTTGTTGAAGCCTGTGGAGATACTTGGATTTACAGGGGATAACAGTGCTGTAAGTATTGAGCCCCACAGGTGTTTTTGCTTTCCTTTTCTCTCTTTCATTAGGAAGGAAGACGACTGTTAGAAAGGGATGGAGTGTTGAAAGCTATACAGATGTAATTGCTGTGGAGTCAGAGGATGCCCTGTGCCAGGGCCCTGTCTCTTGCTTATTTAGGAAAGAATTTAACATTCTTCTCCAATTATGCCTGAAAGGCACGTGAAACCAGCTCTGGGTGTAGTGCCCCTGAATTCCTTGTGAACCACAACTTGGCACCCATGCATAGCTCTGTGAAGGTTCATTACCCATATATGAGTTCTTACAGAGCTGCAAATCTAGTTATAGCTGTATTAAATGCCAGATTGGATGTACAGGAAATAGCCCTGGGACTTCTGTTGACTCCAGAGACAATGGCAGGTGCCAGCATGTTTTATTAAGCTAGTAACCAACAAATTAACAACTTCAAAATTACATCTACTTGATGGATGTAAACAAGCATAGTTAACTGGAGCCAGTGGAACTATACCAATTTCTAGGAGTTGAAAGCATGGCTGATTATCAGGTAAGCCATTGGATTTCTCTGCCTGCTGTCACAGCTTTCAGTGCAAGAGCACAGCCCATGTGTCTAACACGAGAAGGATCCTGTCACATCAGCAGGCCTAATGAGAAGTATTACTTAACGCTATTCCTATACTTTGGTAAAGATGGGTATTCCAGCTCTTGCTATCAGACATGAGTGAGGTATCTCCTGCACATTTGTGTGCCCATAGATTAAGATCAGTTAACTTCTGCACTATTGGGAGCACTCTGCAACCTGATAAAGCAGAGACAAAGGCATCTTTATGGCAAACAGGAGTCAGGCAAGGAAGACACATAGCAGATACTCAGATTTGGATACAGCAGTAACAGCAGATTCTAGGGGCAAGTTTATAGTGTCAAAAAGTACATGCCCTGTTTTTGCCTCATTACTACTCTCTGAGCAGAAAATGACCAGGCTGTACATTAGGTGTGAAGAGAGAAGTACCTGGGGGGTAATAAAAAGGTTTCTTTTTCCAGAAGTTAAAAGCCTTAAATGGTTTAGAAGAGTGAGCTAAAGAATAAATAGACCTTCACAAAGAGAGGCATTGGAAAATGAGAACAGTTCCATAGCTTTTTGGAGCATCCTTTTCAAAATAGTCATTCAGAGAAAAGGTGTTGTTTTCTAAAACCCATC